GAGACAAAAACATTAAAACCCATTATAAACGAGGCATTTGTTGCATCCAGTGGGGACATAATTACGGATTATAATGACTTATACTGTCTTTTTACACGTTGCGTTGCACCGCGCCGCGTAAACATAAAACCATGTCTGCATTTGTGATCGGAGAAATGACAAACAAGAAGCGCTACTCTACACTGCTCAAAACTCGCGTTTGAATCATCAGTGGCAAATTCTTTAAATATGAAAAAGTAGTTTCGCTTTCGCAATGAAACCCACAGCATCTTCACAACATGGCGGCGGGCCGGCGGCGGTGGCAGCAACAATAAAGTTACGCCTTCTTTCTTTGCGTGAACATTTGGCCGGTGTTATGCAAATCTTCCCACACAGTGATGTAGGTATGTGGGGGCGTGTTTAAACGAGGCGTTTTAGGAGGGCGTGGACAAGTCTTAACTTTTATAAAGAATATCTCTTTGGGTTTGAGACTTTAGTCTTTGCAACTTTAGGGATCTTATCTATTCACGAACTGCTTGTAACACTCCAAAGAGAAAGGAAAACTTGAAATCGCATCATATGACCCCTTTAATTCTACTGGTCTTTATACCGAACATATCGAGCGCCCTCTTCAGGTGCCAAATCAGACTGCTACTGTTGATCTAAAATCAAGAAGGGTCCCCAACACAAGACTGAGAGTTAAATTGCTAGAAATGTTCTACCAAGGTCTTCTATAACGGTAAAGACGGTTGATTAATTGCATGAATAAATCATTAGACCCCTATAGCTTGAGTAATAGCTCAGCTATCCTGATAATTTGGCCTGTTTATCATCCTCACATTAATCTGTCTACATCAAACTGCAAGATTAAGATAAATTAGCCGACGAGCTTAACCTAGACAGTTTAGTTTGAGGCCATATGCTGGGTTTTGCCCGTAACTGCTTGTCGCCCGGGCTATCCGGTAATCTCCTCAGAGGGGCAGATTTAAGCGGGCTATTTTCTGCCAGCTCTTAGTGGGACACGCTGGCTTAAACTGAGTTTGTGGGGCATGCAGGCCTGGTTGGTGTCTATACTTCCATGCTATTCAGCTGGGGCTTTAACTACTCTTTAAGATTAGATTAAGATAACAAACTTCAGCAATTTGCAAAGGTGTTTGTGAAGGTACTGAGGCTTTGCATTTATGCAGGATCCTACGCCAACATCATTTATGTTCATATTTTTAATAAAAAAATATAATAATGATAATGATGTTTCAGATATTCTCCTATGATTCACATTACCCCTTAATATGGAATAGCTTGCTTATCCTCACTCCCTTGTCTGGGAGAATGTCACAATTCATGTTTAGGTCACATTTCACCTCAAAATCAGAACAAATCAATAAGAAAAATTAATTAATTAAAATGAAATTGAAATCTATACTTAGGCATATTATTTATTGCTTTTTTTATTAATAATATTTTAGGATATTATTTTCATCGTTATTAAGCACATTTCTCTCAATATTGTCATTATCATAATGTAAAAAATTGCCTTGTGCATGAGAGAATCTAACAGTTCATGTTCAGGTCATATTTCACTCCAAAATCTGAAGAAAATAATAAGAAATATTAGTTTATTTATTTATTTCAATGAAAATGAAACCTATATGTGGGAGTATTATTTATTGATTTATTGATCTCACAGTTCATGTTCAATATATCTATATCTACTGTATATATATATATGATAATGAAACCTACACTATATTTAGGAGCATTATTTATTGCTTTTTTGCATTAACAATCATTTTATGACATTGTTTTCATCTCTGTTAAGCACATTTCTCTCAATATTTTCATTATTGTAATGCGAAAAAAAAAATCATGAAAGGAAATTAATCAAATAAAAAAATAAGAAAATATATGGATTAAGATTTTTTGCAAAATAACATGATTATTTTGTTTACTGTCTTTTCACATTTGCTATTACTGTATTGCAAAAAAAATCTCATTACTGTAATGCAAAACAACAACAATTTTTTTCATTACATAAGAATCAAATGAGAATAATGAAATGCAAGAAATGTTTAAAAATATTACATTTTCCTTATGTAGCATTTTTATTTATTTAGTTAGTCAGTTAGTTTTGTTTGGAGTGAAATGGGACCTGTTTCCATGAGGTTCGCCCACCTTTGTTCTAAATAGACAGCCGATGAAGTCTGATTTACCTTCACAATCCAACAGGAAGCAGGTAAGCAGGTGAGGACACACTTCCTCCAGCACGGAGCAGAAGGCGTTGAACGCACACGGGCCCTTCTGGGACAGCTGATCCAAGAAGAGCTCGGCTCGTTTCTTGCTGGAGTCTTGACCCAGTATCTCTTTGTATTCCCCGAGAGAAAATACTTTGTCATACACCAGGTACGGCAGCACCTTGTTGACATCCAGTTCCTTCTGGATCATCTCCCTATGCTGTTTCAGGACCTTAGCAACCCATTTCTTTCTCTTCCTGTTGACAGGCTTTCTTCCTTTAGTCCTCTGTCTTTTATTCTTCTTTATTAACCACTTTTTAGTGCCACTTCCAAACATCTTCACGTTGAGGATTCCCACTAAGACGTCTTGAACAGTTCCATCAAAGAAAGGAAAGTGCATATTTTTTACAACCAATACATGATCATGCTTGTATGTTCTGCTCGTATTTGTTGTGACACCCAAAGTGTCTGGGGCAGCAGGACAATCTGGACAGAGACAAAATACTGCTTACAGATGGTAATAGGATTAGCTTTGTGTTAAGCAGACTACGGTTAGGTTGATCTGTCTATTGCTAGTTTGGAATACATCAGTGTATATGCAATCTGAGGTTGTAGTTGTTTAAAAAACAAAACAAAACAAAAACAAAAAAAACAGCACATCAAATCTGTAAAAAAAAAAGAAAAGTTAAATGAATTTTATAGACATTTGATTTTTTCATAATCGTAAACATATATGCATTGACAACAAAAGAGTAATTTGAAAGCTTAATTAATACGCTTTATTTTATATTTACTGAATAAAGGCTATATGTACTATTTTCAGTAAATATCCTGATTGCAGTAGCAGACTATACCAGTAGAGGGAAGCACAGTCTTGATTGGCTCACTGTTTATCCCAGGTTAGCCTACTACTCATACAGAAAATCTCTGCAAACCAGTGTTTTTTTTTTTTTAGTATCATTGAGATATATATTTTAAAATCTATTATTAATTTCTATTAGTTTTTATTTCTTTACATTTTCTGTGTTGCCGTCATTTTTATTAGTCTTATAACCCTACTGCGAGCTACCAAAACATTTGGGTTATTACCATAAGAAAGTCTAAAACTGTGTTGAATTATGGTCTTGAAATAAAAATGATCATACTCATAAAATAATTGGTTTTTATTTATTATTGTTATGTTACCTTATTAACGTCTGTGGTTTAATTAATGATTTTAATCATGTATTTGTTAATAAAGACTTGCTAGGAAAATTGGAATTTTAGTTTAAACTAATATTTAAAATAATACTATACTTAAATATATTAATTCTAGTATTTAATAGCAATTCTTCTCAAATCAGTGCCAACAAACAGCAGCTTGTGACCATTTATTCCATACGACTACATGATAACTATGTTTTTATGTTCCATAATGGTGGATTTTTTTTTTTGTATGTATAAGGTTCTATATGTGTATGTACAGAAACTGGCTCTCAGATGCTGAATAATTAATTACATTATATTTTTTTTGGATATGAATTTTCAGAACTTAAATTAGGCTGCATGATTGTTTTTAAGCATTCTTACTCTTCACAGCGATGCCATAGAAGAATCATTTTTGGTTCCACAAAGAACCATTCAGTCAAAGGTTCTTTAAAGAACCATCTCTTTCTTACCTTTTTTATAATCCGAAGAACCTTCTTTCGCCACAAAGAACCTTTTGTGAAACAGAAAGGTTCTTCAGATGTTAAAGGTTCTTTATGGAACCATTTAGACAAAAAGGGTCTTCTATGGCATTGTGAAGCACCTTTATTTTTAAGAGTGTAAATGAGTTTATTTTTAACTGGCTTACTAAAGTTAATAATTTATTGACACAATATTTTAGGTTGTGTCGTGTATTTTTGTATTGGATCAAATTTTCACATATAATGTGCCTCTCACATGCTTTGATGTACCTATGGGGCATGTTGTAACATTTCACTTCCCTCCTTTCTGGATAAATAGTAAAATATATACAATGTGTACATGAAACAAGACCAGAGGCATAAAAATAGAAAAGTCAATTGAACCCCAGGTGCATTTAACTCAAATTCAGAAAACCACTTTTCTCTCATATACAGTATCAAACTGTCCCCGAGTTAAATCTGACAAGCAATTCAAAGTTCAACAATAGGAAACATACAGTACCTACAAGTTAGCAGGTAAACACTTTGCAAAATAATGTTAAAATTAGTAAAACATTAAAACCAGAAACATGTTTTCCACTGTTAAACAACTTACAGTTCAGATCACTGATTTTTCCAGAGCTTACCAACGTGAACAGTGTCACACCAGAGATCATTCAGATCTGCTCTGTTCCTATCAGTGACTTTAAACATCTCGTATGAAGGAATCAGCACCTCTTCCTCATCAGGAAACGTAGAATAATTGGCCACCTCAGCACCTTCACAAGTGTAGATTTCCAAACAAAATACTTTTCCGAAACCTTCTGCTACTGTACGGTTAAGAGACGAGGATGCAAATGAGCCGAAACGAACCCCTGTGTTCAGAACATCCCTATCAAGGGCAACATCTGTATAAGTCGACTTACAACCTTTTTGTGATTTCTTCAGAATCTGTATCGCTTCATTTAAGAAAAAGTGAAGTGAATACCATGTGTATGTCTTGTTTTTGTATTTTTCTTTCTCACTACAGCATTATTGAACTCACGATATACTTCCTTATCAGTGTACGCGTAAATGGCGATTGAATGATTCTCTGTCAAGTCATCTTCTGGTGCCGAAGCATTGTTTTCAACTTCTTGCCAAGCCATTTTAAATTCAGCCGAGTTATTGAGTTCCTTCTCTAGGTATTCTGTCTCTACCTATTCCCTCTGTACAACCGTCATACTGGTCATCAACAGAATTCAGTGCCATGTTGAATGGAAAGGTCAGTCCTTCAGCAGCAGCTCTATGATCCTGTGGGAATCATAATGATCACGTCATCAGTATTCATGTCTGTAATATTCACAAGCTTTACCTGTCCTAGAGCGGCTGAAATGAGAAGAGGAGCTTCAATGAACAGCAGAATCAAAACCCTCAGATGCACTGAAGATATAATGCTGCACAGATGCTGAAAAACAAGAAACACAACAGGGTTTCATAAATGCTACGACTCCAGTGGGAAAATGTAGATAGATATGCACAATAAAATGTGTTCACCAACTTCGTACATAACATCTATATAATAATAATAAACCTTTGAGGCAATATCTACAGGCAAAACCATATAGTTTTTATACATATGTCAGTTTTGAGATGTTTTTTGAGATAAAGTATTTTTTCAGACTTGTGGAAAGAAAACATCCAAAATACACTTCAATTACATTTAATATTTTTAAAGGCTGTTTTCTAAAAGGGTTGGTTTATATAGAACTTGCCTGATTTTATACAACATTTTATTCCTAAAAAAATGGTGGAAATTATTGTTTTTCTGAGTGTTGACAGTATTTTCTGATGTATGGAGTTTTGTTCTAGAAATGTATGCAAATGAGTGCATATTTAATTAGATAACACCTCATTTGCATATTTAAACATAACATTTGAGAATTCCTAATGTAGTCAGTCTATTGGGGAAATATGCGGATATCTATTAGTTTTTTTCCTATTCACCTGGGGTGTCTCGTCATTATATTGGCAAATGAATCTGACACTGCCCCACAAAAAAACTACTAAAAAAAAAGTTTTATAAAATGGTAATACGCACATCAAACCCAGAATGTCAACTCAACATGTTCTTCATTATTACATCACTTATCAATATTTGGTGAAAAATCCCTTATTTTATAAAAAGATAAACACTGAATACATTCAAGAAGTTTTCTGCACATTTTAAATAGAAAAATCATGCACTTGAGTGTAAGTTCATGAAACTTCACCTTACACTGTGAACATTACACATCTAAAAACACCATAACAAATACTGGCAGAACTGCAAATTTTCATCATAAAATGGAAATAACTGAGTTAATAACTTTTTCCCTAAGAAGTGTTTGCTGAAATTCTACTTTCATTTGCAATAACTTGTTTCTCAGACTTTACACTCTTCTTCCCAAGGTTCAAGAAGACCTTCTGAATAAAATCAAACATATATTTTAACTCCTTATTGTTCTTTCTTCAAAGAGGACAATGAATGCATTGGTAAAGTCTCCCACGTTTTCCCAGAGGCAAACCAAAATGAAGTGGGGCCCCAGGCAAAATTAATAGATGAGGCCCTTCTAAAAGATTATTTTGTTAATATATCTTCATTACCTATATATATATATATATTTATACAACATACAAAAAGTAGTTAAAACACATATAATAGAACATAAATTGTTTATTTTTTTAAAACAAAGTGCTTATTCTTTAAAAAAAATATCAATATTCATCTTTATGACAGAAGATACAATACTGTACAATACAATCTTGAAGATACAGTACAATCTTCATATTTACAGTAACGGATTGTCGCCTTAAAAATGGTGCTTTCGAGCCTTAGCTACAGCAAATGCTGTCACTATGTCCTTCATATCCAGAGACCTTCGTATGTTCCGTTCAATTGAAATTAGTGCCAGTGCTGACAGCCTCTCTTGGTTCATTGTTGACCTGAGGTATGTTTTTATCAGCTTTACTAGTTTTATTAGTTGACAACTAATTATGTTAACTCAACTAATTTAATGTAGAAGAGCTAAATAAATAATGTCAACTAAGTAAATGTAATGATATTTATTTATATTGATTCGTGGCCTCCCCACTGGCAGCAAGATACAGTACCCAGGGATGCAAACTAATCATGTGTGACAAAGACGAGCACCCCCCCCTCCCCCCTCAAAATAAAACCCTACATTTTTTAAACACTTATAATAATTTAAAGCCTTTATTATTATTATTTTAACTCTGCCAAAAATTCACTTGAAATGTTCACTTTCATTCATGAAGAAGGCTTGTCTGTTTAACTGAACATGACTTTGAACACAACTTGTATTATCTTAGAGTTATTGACATATGGACATTAATTTGTTGCCAGAAGATGCTCCCCAGTGGGTCACAGTCACCTCTGGCTGTTTAAAGGATATTTTTTGATTGTAACCTTGAAACATGCATTTTCTAAAGCTGCTTTGATTGTGAAAAGCACTGTACCCTTACAAAAGTTAACCATGTTTTTACTATGGTAAAACTAGTAACCATGACTGTAGTAATCAGGGTTTTTTTTCTCAAACTAAGGTTTTGATATCATGGTTATACTATAGTAATATGTTAGTAATGCTGGAGTAAAACTGTGTGTTTTGACCCAGCAGTTGGGTTACTACCCAGAAGGTTGGGTTAAACATTTAACCAAACCGCTGGGTCAAAACAGCCCAATTGCTGGGTTTGTCCCTATTTTACCCAGCACTGGGTTGTATTTAACCCAGCATTTTTTAGAGTGTAGTAATCAGGGTTTTTTCCCCCCTCAAACTAAGT